GAAGGATAGGCACACTAATAAATACATTGTTGGATCTATGAAATGGTACAGCCTTTTTGGAAAGCAGTTTGGAATTATGTAAATAAAGTGACTAAAATTTTTGAACCTGACTCATAATTCCATTACTGGGTTTATGGCCCCAGGAAGACACTGATAAGGAAGTCCTATGTACTCCAAAATATTTATAGCAACACTTTTTGTAATAACTAAGAATTGGAAATAAAGTAGATGTCCAACAATTAGAGAATGGCTAAACAAATTTCAGTTTATGAACATAATGGAATGTTACAGTGCTGTTAGAAATAACTTGTGAGATGAATACAGAAAAGCATGGAAAGATCTATATAATTAATGCACAGCAAAGTGAGCAGAACAAAGGAAACAACGTAAGTAATTACAACAGCGTAAATAGAAAGAACAACTTAAGACCAAAAATAAAAAACATGTAACAAAATTAAAAATCAGTCAATACTCAAATGAAGAAATGTGAGAAGACAGCCCCTCAACTATCCTTTTGTGGAGATGGGAGATCCATGGGTCTCAGATATTTGCATATGTTTTCAGCAGAACTTGTAAATGTAATGATCAGTTATGCTGAGTTTTTTTTTCTCTCTAAAAAATTCTATTTGTCATGGAGTGACTCTTTGGCTAGGGTTGAGCGAAAGATACTTGAGATAATAATGATGGGGAAACAAATAAAATATCAATAAAAACTTATTTTAAAGAAAGACTTAAATGGACCAAGTATACGTTTTAACCACTTTGTGTTTGTTTTACAAAAGGTAGTCGCAGTTGCAACTTTAGATAGCCTTGCAGATTTTTAAAACAAAGGCAAGCCCAGGTTCATTTCTAAAAGCTGTTTATTTATATGGTTCCATCCTAACTCAGCACAACATGGTAGAGAGGACACAGAACTTGGAGTACTTACCACCTCAGGCACTTACTAGCTGTGTGATCTGAGCAAATTACCTAATGCCTCTGGGCCTCAGTCTTCTAATCTGTAAAATGTAGGGTTTGAACTTGTCTTTAAAGTCCCTTTCTTCATAGCTTAGCTCCTCTGCTACAGCCCCTAGATTTTCCTTGATAATTCTCCTTCTCTAAAACCACTACTCTACTGAACTCTCCCTGCTGAAGCTTATACAAAGTAGACTGGGGATATTGGTAGCAATCAGTTCAAGTTTGAATAATGTGAAATTCCACTTAGTGTGAATTACAAAATATCAGGTCACATTTAATGTGAATTTAAAAATTCAATTAATGTAACACATGAACTAAGTCAAGGGTTTTAATCTAAATTGTCGGTCTGAACTTGCCTATTATCACATGTGGATGTAATATGCTGCTGGATACCACATTACTAACAGTTGTATTTTTTTTTTTAAAGAACCCTTAATAAAATGGACAAGAAGAAGCATACTTTATATGGAAACACTTCCACCCCTCAAAAGAAGAGGCTTGCTTATGTTAGAGCAAAAATTGAACAGCATAAACATCATCACAGTAACTTTAAAATAGGATGCAATCTTGGAATGCCTGGATCTAGAGTACAGAATATTATGAAGCATGCAGATGAAATAAAAGAAAAGGCAAAGTTAAATCGGCTTTTTGAGGTTTGAAAACAGCTACAAAGAACAGAAGTATTTGAATAACAGAATTGGGGAGCCTTTTAGCTGTGTGGATTGAAGATTGCAATAAAAAATGCATTCATCTTAGCAGAACAGCCATTCAGATAAAAGATTTACATTTATTTAATTGTTTAGTTCCCTCAATAAGAACTAGGGTAGCTTGGAGGAGGGGCAGTTAAATGGCACAGTAGATAGAGTGTCAGGCCTGGAGTAAGGAACTCTCATCTTCCTATATTCAAATCCGGCCTCAGACACTTACTAGCTGTGTGACCCTAGGCAAGTCACTTAACCCTGTTTGCCTCAGTTTCCTCATCTGTAAAATGTGCTAGAAAAGGAAATGGCAAGCCACTCCAGTATCTTTGTCAAGAAAACCCCAAAAGGGGTCACAAAGAGTTGGATAGTACCAAAAAACAACTACAACAACAGTTTGAAGGAAGGAGGAGAGTTTGGGGAGTGAGTGTTGGGGAGATGAGTTCTGTTTTTGTATTGTCAGTAGGACATCTTTTACTTGATAATCCTGGGGTTTAAGTTTGACACTGAAGCACTGATACGTCGTCTGTGGAGGGAAATCTACTAATTTATGCAGGCAGTCAGGTGATTTACATTTATGTCTTTTCCTAACCTCTATATGAGCATATAATGGAAATAATAGAATAAAACATTGCTAATTAATATTCTCCTTAGAGCAAACTCAATATAGCTCCCTAATTGCTTAGCTGCCCTTCAACTGTTTGATTTGAAAGATGTGACATCATGCTTGATGCCAAATGAAACCAAAATGGTTTCAACTTTGTTTGAAACTGGTCACCTAATACTGTGGGGGCCATTAGGTTACTAATTACTCAAGAATGTTACTGAAGTCAAAATTGGGGTCTAGAAAGGGACCTGAAGGAACTTTAGAAATCATCTAGTCCAATTTCTTCATTTTATAAATAAGGAGAATGATGCCCAGGGAAATGAAATTACTTGGTTAAAGGTTACGCAGCAGAGCCACAAGTGGTATTTGAGTTCCCTGACTTCCAGTTCAGTGCTTTTTCTATCACCACATGGTAGTGAAATTTGACTTGAATTTGAGATTTCTATAGTTAACCTATTTCAAAGCCAAATTATTTTCTCCATTTACCCATAAATGATAACAGCAATAATAATTGTTATTCACTTGGTCAATGTTATTACTCAGGGTAGCCTTCTTGGCCTATCCGGCTGATAAGGAAGAAAGACATAGCACATGCTTACAAGGATTTTAACTTAATCCAAACTTTTTGTTTGGACTGGAGCTATGATTTAATTGTTATAGGGAAACTTCCTTTACAAATGCAGATCTGCACCTCTATACCTCTAATCTTAAGAGAGTTGCTTGAGGTACTGAAAAATTGCCTAGTGTCATACTGCCGTATGTCAGTGGCAAGACCTGAACCCAGGTCTTTCTGAGTCTAAGGCTGGTTCTCATGAGACCATTATGCTACACTGCTTTCCATAACTGAATGATAAAAACAATGCAGTGAGACTATCTGGCCACTTGTGACATAGATGCATAGAGCCCTTCCTTCCTGAACCAGGATGACATCAAATCAGGAGCTGGTCACTACCAAGCCACTTAGTGGCTCCTGAACGCTGGAGCTGGGAAAGTCAGGTTGTCAAAGATGCCTGGGGTCTTGCTTACCCTAAACTAGTGTGTTTACAAAGAGTTCCAGCTTCCTTAGCCTTCTTGAGTAGATAACACCCAAACATACACACACACATGCACCCTTATCTCGCACCACTAGGTGCTCCTATAAAGGGTTCCAACTCTTTTTGTCCTCTTGAATGCAAAGCATACATGTGTCTGTATCTAGATAGCAGCAAGATAAAGCCATACACACATGCACAGATGCACAAATACATATACTTACTTTGCACTGGAGGACAAAGGGAGTTGGAGCCTTTTATAAATTTCATCAGTCTAGGGTAAGCAGGTGGCAGCTAGGTGGCTCAGCGGATAGAGTGCTGGGTCTGGAGTCAGGAAGTTGTTGTTGACTCGTTTTTCAGTTGTATTGGACTCTTTGTGACCCTTTTGGGGGTTTTCTGTCAAGGGCACTGGAGCATTTTGTCATTTCCTCTCCAGTTCATTTTACATATGAGGAAACTGAGGCAAACAGAGTTAAGAGACTTGCCCAGAGCCACACAACTAATAAATGTCTAAGGCCAAATTTGAACTCAGGACGAGGAGTCTTCCTGAGTCTAGCCCCAGTACTCTATCCACTGTGCCACTTAACTGTCACCTGCCAGGTCAGGAAGACCTGAGTTCAAATCCAGCCTCAGACACTAACTATGTGACCTAGGTAAGTCACTTAACCTTTGTTTGCCTTAATCCACTGGAAAAGGAAATGGCAAACCACTCCAGTATCTTTTGCCCAAGAAAACCCCATAGACAGTGTGGTCCACAGGGTCATGAAGAGTTGGACACTACTGAACAACCACAAGAGTGAGCAGACCCCCGGCACCTTTAACAACCTGACTTTTTCAGCCTTATTAGTCTTCTTCAGGTAGTCTAGTAGTCTAGCAATAAGTGGATTTACTACTGTTCGTCACACATGAAACTCTAGCTTCCTTCATTGGGGTTAAATGACTTGCCCAGAGTCACCCAGCTAGTAAGTGTCATGTGTCTGAGGTCACATTTGAACTCAGGTCCTAACTCTAGGACCGGTACTCTATCCATAGCATCCCCTAGCTGCCCCTTTCATCTGTCTTTTACAGTCCTCCATTTATGGAAAGTACTCCCTCCTCAGCTCTGCCTCTTCGAAGCCTTAGTTTCTTTATAGATTAGCTCAAGTCAAGACTTTATAGACTTAGCTACCTTCTGCATGAAGTCTTTCTTAATTCCCACAGCTACTAGATCTCTGCCCCTCCCCAGTTGTGTGTGTGTGTGTGTGTGTGTGTGCATAACTATACACACATATAGTGAATACACGTGTATATATGTATGAGTATATATATACATTTACATGTCCCACCTACCTCCCTTAATATGTAAATATAAGTTCCTTGAGGTCAGGAACTGTTGGACTTTTGCTTTTATATCCCCAGCACGTGGCAAAATCCCTGAAACATACCAGGCACTTAAATGCTTGCTTATTGATTAGTTGAATAAACTAGTCATTAGTAACCTAAAAAATTACTAACCCACATACAGTAGTTAGTAAAAAAAAAAAAAAAAAAAAAAACTTTTTGATGTATTCTAGCTATATCTAACCATCTGCTTCTCTTTCTCCCTTTGAGGAAATGTGACCAGTGTTTCAAGCATATTATGCTCTTAAAGTCCCACTGTCATAATACAGTTGTGGGGGTGGGGGTGGGACAAAGGCTTAGCAACAGCAGTAACATACATCTGTCTCAGGCTAGGTATATAAGTTTCCTTGGCTGTCATCCATGTAGGAAACATTCACAGCACTCTGAATGGAAGTCATCAAGAGGCATGAGGACTGATATCTGGTAAACTCTTTATGAACTGAGCTATTCTGATTTAGTTCAGGAAGCTTCTACTATGTAGACGTAAACCACTATTTTATTTTTCATTTCTTTTGGCTTAATATTCTAAGGACAAAAATGCTTTTGAGAAATTAACTTTGTCTCAACTGGAATACAGAGAAAAGATCTGGAGAGAGTGAGCCTAGAAATATGTGGGGAAACAGGGTAGATGGAAAAAGCCCAAATCTAAAAAGGCCAGTGTCTGAGACAGCTGAACACTGATTCCTTCCCTCTCAGGAATTTCCTTGCTGTGACGTGACTGCATTGTAGAGAAACGTTACCTTTATCGTCCACCTAGCACCTTATATAACAAAAGGGGCCCATTACCTTAAGAACTTTACAAAGATAGACAACAGGCAACGCAACAGCCCAAGAAATCAAATTATATAATACTGTAGTTTACAAAGTACTTTCTTAAGAACATTGCTGTGATGTTAATGAATGAATAAGAAAGCATTTACTGAGTAATTACTGTGTGCCAAGAACTATGCTAAGTACAGGAAGCATTAATTTCCACTTTTCAAACACAAGTTTATAGAATCTGAAACTGGATCATTTAGTCCAACAAAAATTCTTCCTATCCAATAGCATTTTAGTGTCTACTAATGTTAGCCATTGAGGATGTAAAGATAAATATGAAACACTTCTTGCACTCAAGAACCTAACATTCTAATGGGACGCAGCATGTTTTCAAATATGTGGTACATATAGGATGAATGGATGACAAGTTGTGCCCAGAACTGAACATGAGAAGAACATGCCAAATTATCTTCAGGAAATGGAAAAACTCTTTTAATGACCTCAAACTCCTCAAAACAAAGGCCTGTTTTAAAAATAACAGTATTTTACAGGTGCTATATAACTGGGAGATGGAACACAGTGTCACAAATAATACAGGATACAGACAGAAAAAATCGAAACGATGGGGAATTGGGAAAGGCCTCTTAAAGAAGGTGGCATTTGAAAGAGGAAGGTACATAAGGAAAACATTTTGTAACATCCTAACAAATGGTCATTCACCTTTGCTTGAAAATCCCAGGAGAGGTACAGCCTCTTGAGATAGCCCATTCCATTTCTTTAGCTTTAATTGTTAGGAAATTTTTTCTTTCAAGTAAGCCTATATTTGCATCTCTGGAGACCCCACCTATGCCTTGGGGCAGAACTAAAGATTGCTATTACATTCTCTATTCTCCAGTTTAACTTCAGCAATTCCTATAATCTGGAGGTCTCAGTCACTGTCTTTGGTAAACTCTTCAGCTTATCAATGTTCTTCCTAAAATGTGGTTCACAGAACAAGATGCTCCAGGTGTGGGCAGAGGGCAGTGGGACTCTTCTCCTCCTTCATTTTGAACACTATGCTTCTTTAAATGCAGCCTGTTAGAGGAGCTTTTGTAGAGAGGTTGCGACATTGCATATGGTTATGAAAGGGTGCTCTAGCACAGGTCTTCCAAAGTATATAGGCCTGAACAATCCATTTGACTCACCATTCCAGTGAAGAAGCAATGTAAGCATTTGATTCTCTGTATCAAGACTGTGTCCTTTTCTGCTTTTGTATTTCTGGCTCCTGCTTAGTTTAGGAACCCTTCTGCATTCAGAAGCTTAGACCAGGATCCTCTTTAATATTCTCGCCACTACTGCAATATTGATGCCAGTTTAAGTTCTGATAGCTCCCAGATTGGCCCAGAAACTCACCATTCCATCAATACTTTTATCTAATGCCATCTCTGCGGTCATGTGGTGTCTTGTACTCCTGGAACCATAACAAATTCCCTGGGAGTACCATGAAGCTATACAAGCTTCTCTCTTATTGGTGGATATAAAGGCTCTGCCCTGTGTGAAGGGAGAGGCAGAGTTGGTGAGAGGTGAGAGCTTCAGTTTCCAGCCAATTCCCTTTTGGGGATTCTTCATTTCGGTACTGCTGGCTTCCAGCTTCAAGAAAGAAGATGGAAAAGGACAACCCCACTTCAGGTTGCTGAATTAAAGGCTCTGTCTGGGAAGACATGAGAGGGACAGGCAGTCTCCATCATGTCCCCATTCCCAGATTGCAACTTTCAAAACTTGACGGAGTTTTCCTTTGGGTGAGATCTAGGACGCTCTCTTTTGGTTGAGCTAAGTTATCTCACTCCTATTAGGAGAACTCCTTCATTCTGTATTATCTAGAATATATTTTCCAAAGCATACTTTCTCTGATTTCTGTTTTACTACAATTTGAATAAAATTTTGGGGTTTCTTTTGTTTAGCATTTTGTTTTATTTTTTCATTACTAAAACTTAATTACACAATAAGAAAAGAAAAAAGAGATGGTGGAGCCAAGATGGCAGAGTAAAAGCAGTGACTTGCTTGAGCTGTCCCTCAAACTCCTCCAAATACCTGTAAAAGTGGCTCTAAATAAATTCTAAAGCAGCAGTACCTACAAAAAGACAGAGTAAAACAAATTTCCAGTCCAAGACGACTTGGGTGGTTGATTGAAAAGGTCTTTTGCCCAGGCTGGGAGAGGAATGCTGTTCAGCATGGGTGCACAGGCAAAGACCAGGCCTCAGCAAACCTGGAACAGGCTTCAGGGAACTGAATCACAGGCAACTGTGGCAGTTTCCAGACTTCTCAACCCACAAACGCCAAAGACAACTTAGAAGGTCAGGAGGAAAAATCTGTGACTCTGGGTGAGAGAGAAGCTTGGTCCAAGCCCCAGTCCCAGCTCAGCAGCTGCTTCCTGAACTCTCAGCCCACAGCCTTAGGGGGAATCAAGTGGCTGATCAGAGGGAGATTGCAGGGATCCTTTTACTGGTGCTGAGGCAGTATTCTCTTGCTTTGTCTGTGCTTGGATCTGGGTCACTGTTCTGAGTGGTGGTCCTGTGGTGAGGAGGAGTGCTGGCGTAGTGGAGCTTGTAGTGGTGGAAGAGAGAGAATCTTCCTCACAGTTCCAAGGCAGAAAAGAGTGCTTGTGGTTACTCATAGACCTGAGCACAGGTCAGGAAAGGAGTAAACACCTCACTTTTTTTTTTAAGGCAATTGGGGTTAAGTGACTTGCCCAGGGTCACACAGCTAGTAAATGTCAAGTGTTTGGTCTGAGGCCGGATTTGAACTCAGGTCCTCTTGACTCCAGGGCCTGTGCTCTATCCACTGCGCCACTTAGCTGCCTCTTAAACACCTCTGAAAACAGCCGCACAAAACCCCCGAAGCTTGGGACACTACATTCTCCACACTGGAAACAGATCCCTACCTTAACGAAGAGTTTATAACTCAAGTGATTGGCTGAGATCATGAGCAAACTGTGCAAAAAAAAGTCAGACCATAGACTCTTTCTTTGGTGACAAAGAAGATCAAAATATACAACCAGAAGGAGACAACATAGTCAAAGCTCCTACATCCAAAACCTCCAAGAAAAATATGAATTGGTCCCAGGCCATGGAAGAACTTAAAAAGGATTTTGAGAAGGAAGTAAGAGAAGCAGAGGAAAAACTGGGAAGAGAAATGAGAGTGATGCAAGAAAATCATGAAAAACAAGTTAACAGCTTGCTAAAGGAGACACCAAAAAATACTGAAGAAAATAACACCTTAAAAAATAGCCTAACCCAAAAGGCAAAAGAGGTCTAAAAGCCAGTGAGGAGAAGAATGCCTTCAAAAGCAGAATTGGCCAAATGGAAAAGGAAGTCCAAAAGCTCACTGAAGAAAATACTTCCTTAAAAATTAGAATGGAGTAATTAGAAGCTAGTGACTTTATGAGAAATCAAGGCATTGTAAAACAAGACCAAAAGAATAAAAAAAATAGAAAACAATGTGAAATATCTCATTGGAAAAACAACTGACCTGGAAAACAGATCCAGGAGAGAGAAGTTAAAAATTATTGTACTATCTGAAAGCCATGATAAAAAAAAAAGAGAGCCTAGACATCATCTTTCAAGAAATTATCAAGGAAAACTGCCCTGATAATCTAGAACCAGAGGGTAAAATAGAAATTGAAAGAATACACTGATTACCTCCTGAAAGAGATCCCTAAAGGAAAACTCCTAGGAATTTTGTAGCCAAATTCCAGAGCTTCCAGGTCAAAGAGAAAATATTGCAAGCATCCAGCAAGAAATAATTCAAGTATTGTGGAAACACAATCAGGATAACACAAGATTTAGCAGCTTCTATATTAAGGGGCCACAGAACTTGAAATATGATATTCCAGAGATCAAAGGAGATAGGATTACAACCAAGAATCACCTACCCAGCAAAACTGAGTATAATCCTTCAGGGGGGAAAAATGGATATTCAGTGAAATAGAGGATTTTCAAGCATTCTTAATGAAAAGACCAGAGCTGAATAGAAAATTTGACTTTCAAATACAAGACTCAAGAGAAACAAGACTCGAGAAATCATAAGGGACTTATTAAGGTGGAACTGTTTACATTCCTGCAGGGAAGGATGATATTTGTAACTCATGAGACCTTTGTCAATACTAGGGTAGTTGGAGGGAAAAATTATATGTATGTGTATATACATATACACAGAGAGAGAGAGAAAGAGATGGCATAGGGTGAGTTGAAGATGAAGGGGTGATATCTGGAGAATGAAATTAAGGGGTCAGAGAGGATTATACTGGGAAAAGGAGAAAGGGAGAGGTAGAATGGGATAAATTATCTCACATAAAATAGACAAAAAAAGGCTTTTACAGTGGAAGGGAAACAGGGAAAGGTAACAGGGAATGAGTGAATATTATTTTCATTAGATTTGGCTTAAGGAGGGAATAACATACACACTCAATTGGGTATGGAAATCTATCTTACCCTACAGGAAAATGGGAGGGGAAGGAACAAGAGAGCAGGGAGATGATGGGGGGGCAGATTGGGAGAGGGGGTAATCAGAAGCAAACACTTCTAAGGAGGGACAGGGTCAAAAGGGAGAATAGAATAAACGGGAGGGTGGGATAGCATTAAGGGAAATATACTTAGTTTTTCACAACATGACTACTATGGAAGTTTTTTGCATGACTTCACATGTATAAACTGTATCGAGTTGCTTACCTTCTCAATGAGGGTGGGTAGGGAGGGAGGAAGGGAAAAAATTTGGAACTCAAAGTTTTAAAAACAAATGTTAAAAAGTGTTTTCACATGCAACTGGGAAATAAGATGTACAGGCAATGGGGTAATAGGAATCTGTCCTGCCCTACAGGAAAATTGAAGGGGAAGGGGAGGGGGAGATAGAAATGAGAGTAGATTAGGGGAAGGGGTATTCAGAATGCATGCCATCTTGAGGTGGGGGAAAAGATGAGATGGGGAGAAAATTTGGAACTCAAAATCTTGTGGAAGTGAATGTTGAAAACTAAAATAAAGACAGGAAAAAAGATAAAAAAGGAAAAGAAAAAGAGCCATTATAAACTTAAATATTGAAACTTAAATACAAAAGAAAAAAAGCAAAAATGCAAGCATGTCATGTGCACAGCAGAATGTAAGAGAAGATTCAAAATATATAGTAATAAATTTCCATTTTAAGAAAGCCTATATAGTAAATACCACATGTGCTGAGAACTGGCCCTTTTGTCTTTGCTTCATTGTAAATTTTCTTTTGTTCTCTGCTGTGCAATTTTTACTTTGTTCTTTTCACCCCTTCCTCCCCCACCCCCAGAAGGCTACAATCTATCTGTAAATAGATACATACATATACATATACATATACATATATACACATACATACCAATATACAAACATACATATATAGACATATACTTTCCCCAACAAATTCTACTCCTGATCTTTGCTTTTATGCTTGTGCACATCTCTTATTTTCTATCCCTCCTAACTCCTCTACTTTACTTCTGCCAGCTACCTTGCCCTCCTATTGCTTAACCTACCCCTCCTCCAAGGATCCCTCCCTTATCCTCCCATTCTTTCCTTCTATACCTCCCTTTGACCTATTCTCTCACCCTCCCCTCTAAAGATCCCTCCCTTATTCTCCCAAGGATCCATTCTTTATCTTCCCATTCCCATGAATCTAAACATTCTTCTATACCCCACACTTTAATCTACAGGGGTGGGGAACCTGTGACCTCCAGGCCACATGTGGCCCTCTAAGAGGTCCTCAAGTGCAGCTCTTTGACTGAGTTTGGATTCCCTACCCCACCCTCCCCTCTAGATGTTCCTCCTTTATCCTCTCCCCCCTACCCTATCCCCTTACCTTTTATTTCTTTCTGAATTCAGAAAACTTTTATACTCTTCTAGATATATATGTATTGTTCCCTCTTAAACCCGTTCCTGATGAAAGTAGGTTTCCAGAACTAACAGCCCTCCTCCTCCAATTCCTCTGCATCAATTCTTTCTCTCATACCTTATTTGTATAAGATAATTACTCTTCTTAGCTGTTCCTAAACAGTTTTACTTTTAAAAGTCATATCATACTCAAGTCTACCCCAATCTTTCTTAAGAACTACCCAATTACTAATAACAATCTCAGACATACGTTTCACACTTTACATACATGAAAGGTAAACAGTCTGTCCTTATTGAATCCCTTGAAATTAGTTTTTGGTATGTATCTTATATTTCTCTTGGCTCTTGTATGTCAAATCTTCTATTAAGTTCAGGCTTGTTTTGTTTTTGTTTTGCTTTTTTGTTTTGTTTTGGTTTTTATGTTTTTACAAAGTCCAGAGACTCTGACAGTTCATTAAATATCCTTTTTTTTTTTCATTCAAGATTGTGCTTACCTTTGCTGGGTATGATATTTTTGGCTAGAACCCCAGTTCTTTTGCTCTTCGATATATGGTGTTCTAAGACCTGCAGTCTTTTAGTGTTGCCACTGCTAGGTTTTGTGTGATTCTAATTGTGGTGCTGCCATATTAAAAAAAATTTTTTCTTGTTGCTCATAATATTTTATCCTTGAGCTGGGGATCTCAGAATTTGATTATAATATTCCTGTGGGCTTTCCCCATAGGATCTCTTTCAGGTGGTGATCGGTGTATTTCTATTTCTACTTTCCTTCTTGTTCTAATGCTTCAGGACAATTTTCTTTAATTATTTCTTATATTATTGTATCAAGATTCATTTTTTGATCATAGCTTTCAGGTAGTCCAATTATTCTTATGTTTTCTCTTCTTGATCTGTTCTCCAGATCAGCTGTTTTTCTTATGAGATATTTCACATTCTCTTCTATTTCTTCATTCTTTACATTATTTTTTATTATTTTTTTCTCTCTTATAACTTCACTGGCTTCCCCTTGCCCAATTCTGATTTTCAAAGAATCATTTTCTTCCTTAAAATTCTGGATCTCCTTTTTTAATTGGTTGACTTTCTTTTCGTAATCTTCTTGTTTTTCTTGGATTGTTTTTTTTAAGTTTTTCCTCAATCTCTCTCATTTGATTTTTAAAGTCTTTTTAAGTTTTTAGATGAATTCTTTCTGGGCAGGTGGCCATTTGACGTTACTCATTGGGGCAGAAGAGAGTTTCTTTGCTTCAACATCCTCCTCTGAAGATGAACCTCAGTCTTCTCTATTCCCATAATAACTCTCTACAGTTAGATTCTTTCTCCTTTGCCTGTGAATTTTTTTTTGTTTGCAGTACCTTAACTTTTGTAATCACCTCTAGTCCTGGGGATGGGGGATAGCACCTCTGACCTCACATCCTCCTTTAGTTCTTCCCTCTGACCTTGAACTAAAACCAAGACCTCCAGCCTCCTGTAAGTACCCAGGGCTAGCAGCATCCTCACCACTGCTTCTGCACTCACCGGGTGTATGCTGATTCCTTCTTGCCCCCAGCCATGTCTCTACAGCACAGCTGGGTCTGGCATTCCTTGTCAGTCGAGGTTCCCTTGATCTTCCCCAGCTCAGACACCCAACTCCCCTCATTGTCTCAGGGGAAAAATTCCTGTGGCTGGGGCAGAGGCAGCCTCCCAACCCAGCTAACCCCAAGGCTTGCCACTTACTTTCTAAGTGGTCCCTAGCCTAGAGGTCTTTGCTCTTCATAGGAACCGAACTTCATCTTGGGACTTTTCTTCAGATCTTCTCAGATTGTCCCAGGGAGACTCCTGTTCTGCCCCTACTCTTATTTACGGTTATCCCTCTATGTTCACCCTGAGGCACTATTTCATCTCTTTTGTCTGTGAAAAATATTGAAAGTTTGGAATTTTCTGACCTACTCAACCATCTTCTCAGAATCCTCTCTTTTGTTTTGTTTTTGCTATTAACTATGTGTGTTCATTGTAGAACTGGTATTAGATAGGAAAGGGGTCATACCTTGCACATAGAACTTGGGGTCCTCCTTCCCCCAAAATGACAAAGTGGTCAAAAGTTAGATGGAATCCAATCATAATCCTTAGACAAAAATATTTAAGGGAATAGATAGATATGCTTCTAGCCTGGTACCCCTTCTATCTAAGGAGAGCAGAGTGGTAGTCCCCAACTTCCTACTTCCTCTTCTGGCAGGAATAAAAGCCTCCCTTGGAGAAGAGTGGGGGGAGTAGAGGCTAGAGATGTCTATTCTGCCCCCCCTTTAAGCCACGCACAAGGATAACATCCTTGCAACATGTGGGCCTCTCTACACATGGGGTCCAGACACCTTTGCTAGTTAAAAGAATTAGAACTAGAACTAGAATCCAGAGAGCATCACACAGTAGAATAAAATAAGAAAAACTCTAGGCTTAGAATCAGAATATATGCATCTGTTTATCTCTATGTCTACCTACAGCTCTTTGTGTGAATCTATCTATGTCTGTCTCATCTAGCAGAGGAGCATTTTCCTCCTGACATATGCTGGTTATGTGACCCTGGCCAGTCATATAATCTTTCAGTGTTAAAGTCAGCTCTCTAAGATTATTAATCTTCAGAGGAGATGCTGAACTGCCTTGGTAGAGGGAGTTTCCTCACCTGGGAGTTCACTACAGCAACGAAATCACATTTGGACAAGTCAAATTTATTTGGTTTTCTCCTTCAACTACTGCTCCCCCTCTTACTCCCTGACTCATGTCACTATATAGTTGTGGAGTTTTGAGATCCCCAGAGAATATGCCCAGGGACTCCCAAAACTGTCATAGGGACCCCCAAACAGATAATTGCTTGTGAGGAGTTATCTCTGGGCTCAAATGCCAAGAATTTCCTTAGGGCCTGGTAGAGAAGAGATAGGAAGAGAACTGTGGGGACACACTCCCCAGTGGGGAGCCACAGGCTGGACTAATTACTTTAGTGTAACTACTTGACCAGAGCCTTCCCATCAGCTATTTCCATCATGCAACCAGACAAGTAATTGTATTTTAAAGAATGTTGGACTGCAAAAGACTCAAGGTTTAGTCCAGTGTAGGCTACATGTATTATTTATGCCAGGCATTTGTACATGGGTATGGGTGTATGGGTATGGATGGATGTGGATGGTTATCAGAAAATGTCAATCTATCCACTAGGCTGAATTCTCCTTTAGAGACACCCTACAGGAGATTTGCTACATACCGTGTGTAAATGTGTTTGGACAGGGAGTCGTTGTTCCGCAGCAGAGTGGGAGTCAGTTCTTTGCAAGTTACAAGACTTGGAGGAAACGAATTGATGCTCATGTTTCTCCCACAGAGCTGAAGTCGGAGAACACCCTCAAACATCCCTGGCAGCCTGTTCTACTTCTTTTGAATTAAAGTATGTATTTGTTGGAGAGAAAAAAAAACGTAGTATATAATATATTCTTTTCTTTCATCCTTTTGTAAGTCACAGGGAGAAGCTGCTTGCATCAAATGTGAGTCTGGGTAAATTCTTTCCTCTTGTTTGTGGGGTACCTGAGTTGCATAAATGTTGTTTGAAGTACCAGAGATCTTCATGAGCTTTCCAGAGGCCACACTAGCCAAACCTCTGTCTGGTTGAGTAGCTGTAAACCTGGAGTTTTCTATTGCAAAAGTAAGTGTAATAAGACATTGAGCCCAACAGCTATTTGTTGGTATTTGGAGTGCCCAAAAGAGACCTCTTCATGTGACTTAACATTGATTCTATGAGGGTGGGACAACATAGCTTACAAATAATGCTTTACAGTTGTCTCCTGAATTCCTGAAGTGGTCCCGACATTCTGGAATATGATATCACTGTCTGATAAACACAGAGATTTTGGATTTCTCTTTCATTTCATTTTCTTAAATGAATGAATTCTACTTCCAGGCGAAATGAGGTACCTTAGAGTCAAGAATCATTTTGTTGTTATTTTTGTATTCTCATAAGCTAACATGGTGTCTTGCATATAGTAGTGCTTAACAAATGCTTACTATTTTAGTTGTATCCTTCAGGGCTCTTTTAAAAAGTACATAGCACTCTCTAAAGGCACTCATTGGTTTCAAATAAAAAGACAGTATGTGTCCTGTCTTCAAGAAAAAGTTATCTAGTACTCAGTAACTGAAAATAATGAAATTGTTAGTAATCTTGAGTTCTATTCCCAGAGATGCTCTATGATCCTATAGCCCGTACAGACAAGCTACCCCTAGAGTGATGATTCTTGAAGCGAAGAATAAAGACGTGTGAAAAGATCCACACCACACACGTTTCAGCTTCCTCCTCCACTCTTTGAATAACATATCTCTTTTATATGTCTATAATCCATCTTAAGGCCAAATATAGCTGCTTCTAAAGTGTGGGAACACAGGACAAGAATTAATAAAATGTGGTTTTGCCATAAATAACAAGAGGTATTTGAGGTATGATTTCATATACCCAGCTATGTCCTTTTCAAACACTGGCATTTCCTCCATAGCCAAGTATATAAAAAGTAATTGACTACATAAATATTATAAGTATATGTATCAGGCAAAATAACTCTTAACATATTCATTATAACATATGCCTAAAGCTAAAACCCAAATCCCTTGATTGAGAGGAAAAACTTGGATGTCTGTTTGTTTTGCTTTTTTATTATATTTATTCCCACTTTATTTGTGTATTTTTTAATCTTTAGCTGCCATTTCTGGAGCTGTTCAAGCTTAGGCAGGAACAAGGGATTAGTTCCTTAATGGAACATCACATCACTGATATTTCTGCCACCTTACTTCATAGCTCTACCAACATTGTGGCAAGGAGACAATTTGGGGGGATGTTAAGATAGTAGGTTCATTTTCTAACACAGCATCAAGAGTAATTCTGCTCAGGATCATTTTAACAGAGCAATGGTTGTTTTCAGTCATTCTAAACCTATGGAAAATTATTTCTTTAGGGAGATAAGAGACAAATACTTTGGTGCACATTGGAATGTCAGAGTCAGATGTCATTTAAATCAGCTTTCATTTTAGTGTTTTTGATGTTTTTCCCACCTTATTTCCTCTTTCTTTTTCCCAATGTTTTTCTTAATTTTTATTCTTGCTCTTTGGCCTGCCTGATGCCTGCTACTATATGCTCAGGACTTTCAGGACTTCCTATTCACTGTATAGCTAAACTCTCTAATATGGGTCATCTCCAAATATAGTATGAGATCCTTGAGAGCAGATACTGTCTTGATTTTTCTATTTGTATCTCCATAGTATTTTGTTTCAGTCATGTTAGACTCTTTGTGACCCCATCATCTTGGCAAAGGTACTGGAGTGGTTTGCCATTTCCTTTACCAGCTCATTTTACAGATGGGGAAACTGAGGCAAACAGGGTTAAGTGACTTGCCCAGGGTCACCCAGGTAGTAAGTATCTGAGGCCAGATTTGAAACCAGGTCTTTCTAACTCCAAGTCTGGCTCTCTATTTACTGCGCCACCTAGCTGTTCCATTATGTACATAGTAAGCACTTAATAAAATGCCTTTTCATTCATTCACTGACTCATTGGACTTCTGATATGCTACAAATATATTAAAAGAACAGGCAGAGCAGCATAATCAAAAACGGTACTGGCTTTGGAGTTGGAGAACCTGAGTTCAAATCCTGCCTACCTCTCTGACTTTAGGCATGTCATTTAACCTAAGTCTCAGTTTCCTCATCTGTAAAATGTTGGATTAAATGACCTCTAAGGTCCCTTCAAACTGTAAACAAATCTACAATCCTAAGTGGATTTTGGTAAGATTTCAAAAAAGGTTTCCAACCAATATACTTCAAATCCTTTCAAAATTGTTAGCCTGCACTTCAATCGAACTTTACCTAAAGCCATGTTGCTAATTTAGTGAATCTCCATCTCCGACCATTCCCCTGCTAGGTGGGTTTACCAAGTGAACAAAAGACATACAGTGAATTAAGGCCAAGATCTCTAAGAAGACAAAAAGAATAACTTCATCATGGTCTGAATTCTTACTGATTCAGGTGTCCTTTGAGAAAGAATTTTCAGGATTGATTTGAAAAGGATACACAATTATACTAGATTAGCAAGGACTTTATAAATTATATATACTGATTACTTAATTTTACACATGATGAAATCAAGGCCCAGGGAAGCTGAAATAACTTGTTTAAGTTCAAACGGCTAATAAAAAACGGAGCCAAGAACTGAACTTAGCTAGTTCTTCATACTTCTAAGGCTTTTGCTCTTTCCCCTACACCATACTTTGTTGAAAAGGAAGGGAGCGAGGAAGGGAAGAAGGAAAGAAAGAAAGGAAAGAAAGAGAGAGGAAGGAGGGAAGGAAGGAAGGAACCAGAACAAAGGTCAAAGGACTAAAGGGCAGATGACCATAGATATGATTGAACTGTTGAGCCACAGGGTCAACATTCACTAGAGAATGTTTCTTTTGTTTTCAGAATGTGCTCAAGCAACTACATTTTCAGATATGTTTCCTTTACAGATCAGACCAGTTGTTTTGAATCCATTAATGATGTTGTTGTTTCTGGAGAAAATTTTTCTAAAGAGATGCATTTGGTATCAGAAGGAAGACTGATGAGAAATTGAGTGACAGTTAAATCTAGTCAGTAGGCATTTTTTAAGTGCTTACTATATATTAAGCATTGTGCTAAGTGGTGAAGATACAAAGGAAGACAAAAACAATTCTGCCCTCATGAAACTCACTATTTAATGTGGGAAACAACATGTAAATAACTGTACAAACTAGATACACTAGGAATGAGTTGGAGTAATCCAACCCGGGGGTGGGGGTGCAGGAGCCAGCTCAAAACCAGTATAAGCATTTTACACCTTGGAAATCTGCAAACACTATAAATCAGGAATTGATTTATTATTTGGTTTCTAGATTTAACAAAAGTGATGGAGAAGATGTTAATAATGCATTTAAATTTAAAACTATGTCACGTGTACACTTTTTTTTTTTCCTGGAGAGCCAGTTATCAAACATTTACTGACACGTCCCTGTTTACCAGCACATACCTGTAGAAGGCATTAATGATAAGGCAAAACCAGAAAGGCTTCTTGTAGAAGGCAAGGTTTTAGTTGCTCTTGGAGGAATCCAGAGAAGCCAGAAAAATAAAAAAGTTACTGGAATAAATATGCCATAGGCATAATATAAGTATTAGATATGAACAGATAGAGGAAATAATTGGGATTAGAGATACAATGAAGAGAGCTCAATTTAAAATGGGACTTAAAGACCTCTGGGTCAACCTGTGAGTCTACTGAGCAAAAAAAAAAAAAGAATTTAATTTTGCTCTGCATATAGCTTGACATACATCATCTTAATGACTGGCAATTATTCAGCCCAGTTCATTTTCGAACAGAGTCCCAGTAAAGAAGATGGACATATGTGTTCTATGCCATACTAAGATCAGTGGTGTGAATTTCAGGTCAAATTTTTAGAGCTCCTCCATCCTTTTGCCAACAGTTATTTGCCTACATTTAAAAATAACGTAAATCTAAGTGTAAGCTACACTCCTAATCAGCCCAAATCAGACCGTCATATATGTGAGCAAAAAGAAGTTTTGAATTCAAAGAGAGAAGACCAGCATGTCAAATGAAAATGTAACCTCTTATCTTAGAAGGCTTTATTTTCTCTATGCTGACCTGACACTAATTCATTTTAAACTCAACTGGCTGCTACATTAGCAATGCTTTGAGAATTCCTTTCTGCCCACATGTTCTATTAATTTCTACATACCAAAAAAGGTCATGAGATATATTTTCTAGCAGGGCATTTTAGATTCAGAACTTTAGAAGTATAAGGACCCTCAGAGGTTGTCTAGTCTTCATATCCCCAAGTTTCTCTACCATATAATTCAACATCAAAATTATCTTCACCATTTTTATTTGCATTATAACTACAGTGCCAAAGGGAAAAGGGCAGCTAGGTGTTATAGTGGATAGAATGCCTGGCCTGGAGTCAGAAGACTAATCTGTGCATTTAAACCTGGCCTCAGACACCTACTAGCTGTATGACTCTAGACAAGTCACTTAACCCTGTTTGACTTAGTTTCCTCATTTATAAAATGAGCTAGGGAAGGAAGAGCAAACCACTCCATATATTTGCCAAGGAAACCCCAAATGGGACCATGAAGAGTCATAGATGACTGAAAAACAACTGAACAACCATAAGAGAAACAAAATTCTCCACCCACATGGTTTAAGCTTGAGCCTGCCCTCCATCGGCCAGTACCAACACTTACGTATCCACTGGAAAAAATCAGCAAACACCTAACGAGAATCTGGACATCACTGTGTCTTCTGATGATTAGTCACCAAGTCATGAACTTTCATGCTGGTACCGATGACTACAATAATTTTCCTGTGTTCCTGCAGTCAGGAGGCAA